TTTACCTGAGGCGATCAGGTCGAAATGTTTGCTCGGTGTCAATGAAGATAGCTTTTCCGCCAGCAAAGCTGCCGTTTGCAATTTGACAGGTAACTAAAATCGTGGTAAACATCACAGTTAGAGAATGAAAACAATTGTTGTCTTGTTTTGCACTTACCGCAAAGAGTATGCGAGATTTGTGTTTTTCCAGTACGAAACTCACCAAACGCCTCGGTGATGGCCATACTTTCGATGCCGCCATTGAGAAGTGTGCTAGAACAAAAAGAGAATTAGAAAAAGTATAAAAACTAAAATAACTTACTCAAAGTCAGTGGAACCAGTGGACACTTTGAAGATTGACTTTCGCTTCTCACTAACTTGGTTAGCTGTCAGGAATTCACAACCGTTGCTGAGTTTTGCTGCAGCTTCTTTTATCTTATCTACTTTGGCGTCCGTCAGACCTTTAATCTGAACCATTTTCTTTTTCATACACATGTTGATTCCCTTTATTGTGCAGATGCCTGCCGACTTGAGCTTCTTGATGTCCAGAGCATTCTAAAATGGGTAATTATCTATTTAGATGCGTTCCATTTACTTAATACAGAAAAGCTACTTACGATTCCATGAGATTGCAGTAGATCAACATCTTGAAACAGATCCTGATAGCAGAAAATCAACAGCATTAGAACAAAACAGTAGAAAAACCTTAAACATCGAACATACCTCGGCCTGCGACTGCTGGCTCTGCTGTGTGGTCATCATCTTGATGGCTGGAACAACTGGTGGGTGGTGGGGTGATGATAAAAACAAAAGAACCTTAAGTAAACGAGAACGCCTTTCAAATCGAAAATCTCAGCGCAAAATAGAACACAGCAGACGAAAAAACCAGCAAACCAAAAACCAGTTCTCTCTTGGATCACGCCCCCTGCGTAGAGTACGTAACGTACTGTAACCAGGAAAAAACGCTTTTTACTTTTTTTCCGTTGACTAATTACAAGTTGTTGTAAACGAGGAGTTGCAGTTGCAGTTGCAGTGACAGTTGTCGTACAGTGCTCAAATTAAACCAAAAAAAGCATAAAACAAGAGTAAAAGAAAATCTTTTAATTAAACACGAGAAAACTCATTACCTCTCTTATCTCTTCCTCTTCATCCCCTTTCCACTTTTCTCCAGGCCACTTTTTTTGCCTGTACACTTATCTAAGTAGAAGCCCACACTTTACTCTGTTTTACCACCCTTGCACTCACACACTTTCACGCATGTATTGATTAACTGGGCCTTCTTCATCGTAATCTCTCACTCTTTCTCATCTTTTACTTATCGCATGACTACTAAAACACGACAACTGTTTCAACTGTGTTACGTACGCTCCCAAATAGAACCTGAAAACTCTGAAGAAAAACAAATGCAAACAAAAATTTTGTATCTTTTGGTTTTCAATAAAAAAAGAAAAGCTTATTATTACAATGCCAAAGCGCTGTACAGAAGAAGAGGAGGGGAGAAAGACTTTCTCCGAGAAAGTTCAATGGTGCAGTGACAGGATAAAAAGAAGAAGGAGAACAATAAAAAGTCCGACAACATGGGCACAACAAAGAAGAGGTGGTCATCAAAGTGTATTCCTTTTACCGGGGCATTCCGCCGCCACCTCCCCCTAATCCGCCACCCCCACCGCCGGGAATGTGCGAGGCAGAGTGCAGCTGGCGGAGCATGCTCTGCAGCCCGTTCATGCCGCCCATCTGGTGGAGGACGCGCGGGTCGATCATCCGGGCCATCTGCTGGTTCAGCTTCGCCATCTGCGCCGGGTTGACGTTCTTCGCCAGGTCGCCACTCTTGAACAGCCCCTTGATGCCGCCCATCTTCTTCACCACGGCGGCGAACTTGGTGTACTGCGAGAGGAGCTCTTGGACCTCGCGCTGGGTGACGCCGGCGCCGCGGGCCACCCGGACGATCCGCGTCGGCTGCTTGCTGAAGAGCTTGGCGCCCTCGCGGCTGTCCAGCTCCCCGTCGGCCATCGAGTCCATGATGGTCATCATGCGCTTCAGGCGGCTCATCGACTCCGCCTCGCTGGTGCCCTTCGCCAGCTCGGCTCCGAAGCCGGGAATCATGTTGAGGATCTGATTGAAGGGGCCCATCTTCATGATGTTCGTCAGCTGCTCGTACATGTCGCGCAGCGTGAACTCCCCGTGCTTCAGCTTCTCAATCAGCTCCTCATTGTCCTCCAGCTTCAGCTCGTTCACCTTGTCGATCAGCCCCTCGATGTCGCCCATTCCGAGCAGCTTGCTGATGAAGGGCTCCACCTTGAAGGGCTCAAACTCGTCGATGTGCTCGCCGGTGCCGATGAAGATGATCGGCGAGCGGGTGGCGGCGACGGCAGAGAGCGCGCCGCCGCCCTTGGCGTGCCCGTCCAGCTTCGTCACGATGATAGCGCCGACGTCGACCTTGGCCTTGAAGGCCCTCGCCTGCGCCTCGCAGGCTTGGCCGATGCTGGCGTCCATCACGTAGACGATCTGCTGCGGCTGGACGGCGGCACTGATCGCAAGCATCTCCTCGAAGAGCGAGCTCTCCTGCTTGTGCCGGCCGCTGGTGTCGACGATGACGATCTCGAAGCCCTCGGCGGTGAACTTCTCCACGCCCTCGCTGGCGATCACCACCGGGTCCGACTCGGTGTAGGAGCCGTAGAAGGGGATGCGCGCCTTCGTGGCGTTCTGCTTCAGCTGGTCGAAGGCGCCGGCGCGGAAGGTGTCGGCGCAGACCAGGGCGCACTTCCAGCCCTTGCGCATGTAGTAGTAGGCCATCTTCGTGCAGGTGGTGGTCTTGCCGATGCCCTGCAACCCCACGAACATGATCACATTGGTGCGGCCCTTGACGGGCGTGTAGGCGCGCACGCCCGGGTCGAGCAGCTTCACCAGCTCCTTGAAGACGCCGTTGACGATCATCCGGCGCTTGTTCAGGCCGGCGGCCATCTCATCGAAGTCAATCACCCGACGGACGTTCTCCCGCAGCTGCTTCACCAGCAGGATGTTCACGTCGGACTCGATGAGGGCGGCGCAGATCTCCTTCAGCATGTTGTCCAGCACCTCCTGGTTGATGATGGTGGCATTTCCCAGCGAGCGGATCGCCGAGGTGATCTTCCGCCCAAGGTCGGCGAGAACCATGGTGGCGGTGGTGGTGGTGTTTGGGTTTTAGAAAAAAAGAAGGAAAAGGAGGGGATGTTTGTGAAAGCGAGTGTACGGCCACTCTTGGCGAGAGGTAGAAGGAGAAGAGAAGTTCTTCAAGCTCAGGCGTTGTTGATCTAGATTGGTAAAGGTAAACGGGGAGTTAGAGAATGAATTCAAAAGAAGGTAGACCCGTAAATACCTGAGGCAAAGTTGAGCAGGAAAATCGGGTGTTGAGGTAAATAAAGGGAGGACTTGCAAGCACCGCCGTACAGCAGCAGCGGTAGTCTTCGCGAATCGCGAGGCACTCTCTCCAACAAAACACGATCGTGGCAGTTTCCCTTACTTTCACTGTACACTGTGGCGCTGGCAACGAGTGCGCACTGCACGGGGCTAAATGCACCGTCGCAGGCCTCTGCTAGCTCAGGCACTGTGGGCAGATGGCTATTGTGACGCCTTCAAAACAAAGTACTACTTTCTCTTTAAATTCCCCCGCCCAGTGCCCAAGAATCGACGCCCGAGAATCGACGCCTCTCCCTTTTGGATCACCTGTTCACCCGCCTATCTGGCTAGTCTGGCACCAGGGTAGCGAAACACCTTTGGTGATCGTCTCCTTCAACAAAAATTAACAAAAGTGTCTCAGCGACGATTGGCTGCGACCTACTTCTCTCGCTCCTCTCCTCTTCTTCTCTTCATCTCATTTCGAAGTCCTGTTTTCTGCACTTCAGCACGGCTGAGCCACCGTCGTCAAGAGGAAAGGTCATCATCATCGCCACCACCACCATCACTATCCTCCTCCTGCTCTTTCCCTTCAAGATCTTTGCCTGGCTGACAAAAACGGAGTCCTGCTGCTGCTGCTGCTGCTGATGTTGCTTTGACCATCTACATCTTCTGCTGCTGCTGCTGAAGGCGAGATGGGCAGCAGCTTCAACAGGGCGCCAAAAGATGACCACAACCGCCGTCGCCGCTGCCCTCGCTGACGATTATTAGCTTCCACCACCACCACCACCACAGCAACGACGACGTCCACCTATTGCGCACTATTGTCTGTCGCACAGTGATCAGCAGGCAATCCAGCACGAGAATCCGCTGCTGCAACACTGCTGCAGCAGTAGATCGTTGCGTGCGTAGATCGCCTAGCACTGTTTCTGTCAGTGCTGTCTGCTATATCGCATCAACCCGTCGTCGTCGTACACTGGCTTCCATCATCACCAGTATTCGTGTACACTTCTCTTCCTGTGCTTTGTTTATTTTTTTGTGTTTCCACTTTCTTCTTCTTCAAGTACAACGTCATATATCGTCTGGCTACGATAATAACGCACCGCTACCGCCCCCGTTCTAATTAAGTTCCCATCTTCTTCGCCGACGTCTTCATCATCATCATCAACAGCAACCAGAATTCTCACCTTTATCTCTCACACTTTAACACGACGCCACCAAATAGATAACCAATCAACCGACGACGACGAGATTAAAAGTACACAATGGATCTCATTTTAGAGCCAGATGGAAAGCTCGCGTCGTTGAGCAACAACAACAACAGCAGCAGCAGCCTAAATAACAACAACAACNCTTCTCTTCCTGTGCTTTGTTTATTTTTTTGTGTTTCCACTTTCTTCTTCAAGTACAACGTCATATATCGTCTGGCTACGATAATAACGCACCGCTACCGCCCCCTTTCTAATTAAGTTCTCATCTTCTTCGCCGCCGTCTTCATCATCATCATCAACAGCAACCAGAATTCTCACTTTTATCTCTCACACTTTAGCACGACGCCACCAAATAGATAACCAATCAACCGACGACGAGGAGATTAAAAATACACAATGGATCTCATTTTAGAGCCAGATGGAAAGCTCGCGTCGTTGAGCAACAACAACAACAACAGCAGCAGCAGCCTAAATAACAACAACAATAACAATATTCTCAACAACAACAACAATCCACTGATCAAGGGTCATGGAATCAAGTCATCAGGTGAAGGTACTGCTGCTGCAGCGGCGACCATCACTTCACCATCATCAGCAACAGCACCACCGACTTCATCCACCTCGACGGAAAACAATAACCACCTGACGATAATCAGCAACAGTCCGACGGCCGTCTCACCCACGCCCAATGGAGAGGCGGTCTACGAGTTTGGGCGCGATTTTGGCGAGAACCCCTCGCATGTCATCAGTGAGAAGGTGAGGAGCTTTTTAACTATTTATAGGATAAAAACTAACAATTCAACGATCAGGTCCAGAACCTCGCCTCGCAGATCTACAACGAGTNTCATCCACCTCGACGGAAAACAATAACCACCTGACGATAATCAGCAACAGCCCGACAGCCGTCTCGCCCACGCCCAACGGAGAGGCGGTCTACGAGTTTGGGCGGGATTTTGGCGAGAATCCTTCGCATGTCATCAGTGAGAAGGTGAGGAGCTTTTTAACTATTTATAGGATAAAAACTAACAATTCGCCCCCTTTTCAACCAACGATCAGGTCCAGAACCTCGCCTCGCAGATCTACAACGAGCTGCAGCGGATCATGAGCCGCTGCACCGACGACGAGGAGGTGGTAGTGGGCGGGCTGATGCCGCTGATCGTCAACGTCCTCGAGTCGCTCGACCTGGCGCTGATTGAGAACCAGCAGCTGCAGGTGGAGCTGGAGCTGTGCAAGGACGACAACGAGCAGCTGGTGGGCGCCTTTGAGAAGGAGAAGACGGGCAAGAAGAAGATCGAGCAGCGGCTCTTTGAGCTGGAGTTCAGCGCCGACGAGGAGAAGCAGCACTACCAGCAGCGGATCGACTCGCTCGCCAACATCGTCAAGATGCTCGAGCTCAAGTCGAAGAACGCCACTGACCACTGTGAGCAGGAGTTTATACTTGTAAAAGGTTTTTACAAGGTTTTTAACCCTTATTATTTTTTNAACCCTTTTTATTTCTTCTTCCACTCACCTCAGCGTCTCGCCTGGAGGAGAAGGAGAGCGAGATGAAGAAGGAGTACAACAAAATTCACGAGCGCTACACCGAGCTGCTGCGCAGTCACTGTGATCTAATGGAGCGCGTCAAGATTATCTTCGGCAATGAGGAGCAGTCCGCTGCCACCCCTTCTGGTCAACAACCGTCTCAGTCTCAGCAGCAGCAGCAGTCTAGTCTCTCCACGCTGGCCGGCACCTTTCGCGCCAACCTGGCGCGGTTCGGCTCGCAGGAGGCAGAACAGGCGTCAGAGGGTGGTTTCCAGGCCATCAGCGCCAGCACCGAGCTCTTTGGCAGCGGCCAGCGAGGCAGTGCGCTCGACCTGGACATGCAGCAGCAGCAGCAGCAGCAGCGGGCGCC